AAATTCTATTTATTATTCCAAGCCTTTGATTATATTTCTTTTGGGAGGGCACCTGCCCTGATGGCTCTGACAAGCTCCTCGTGCCTGGGCCTGGTAGGCTCAGTCACTGCTTATTTTTTGAGCATGAACAACATTTGGCAGGGGCAGTGGGAATGAAAAGAGTGTGTAGGGAGGGGAAGGAGAGTCTTGCTGCTAGGGACTACTCTTCAGACTGGCTTGGGGTTGAACTTTGTTCAGAACCACTGAGCAGTGCAGTCATGCCAGCTTGCCCCTCCCTTCACTCCTACCCCTTCGTTGCCAAACTTGAAGCTGTCTCTTAGAGAGCAGAAGCCAAAGGTTTCATGCATAAAATCTACATATTTGAAAGAAAAACACCTAATGATTCTGTCAAGGTTTTCACATAGGATCAGAGGGGCCACCAAATCTTATGCCAAATGCTTAGAAACTCGTAAGGTAGTAGTTCCTAACATTTTGTGGGACCTTTTCAAGATCAATGAAATACCAAATGTACATCTACATAAAATTTTGCATACTATTCTGGGGAATTTGGGTCCAGGGAGTTCAGGCTTTCCATGTACCTTTAATAACCCTGTGACTCCCAAGTTCGGAACCTTTGGTCTACAGTGTCTTTCTTGGCCTGGGACAGTAGTTGGATAGCACTTTTAGGTCTGATATATTCTTTCTTGGAATACTATTGGTGCTCAGGAAAATTCTGGGGATCCCACAGAATATATGGTTAGTAAACTAATGCTACATTCTGCCATCTTTATCTAGTATTCACCCTGTCCCCTCTAAATGATACAATATCCTTGTCCAGTGGTTGTCTAGCATCTGCTGAAACACTTCTAGTAACAGGGACCTATATTTCCTGACACATATTCTAGTCTGTCATTGTGTCTATTTAAGTGTACTAAGAACTTAACATTTCAGATGATTCTGTTCTATAACACATTTGCTCTGTCTAGCACAGCGTTTATATCATAGAGAGATAGATAGAGAGATGATAGATGATAGATTAGATAGATAGATAGATAGATAGATAGATATGTAGATAGATAGATATTCGCTAAAGAAGGCATCTATTTCTGGGAAGGGATGCAAACATGAATAAGAAATGGTCATTGCACATGTTTTTATCTCAAACCAGAGCTCCAGAGCTTACTATTCTCTAATTCCCGTTAGGTCGGCATGAAATCCATTAGCCTAGCTCTTTGGGGATATGGTATAAATCAGCTGTTGGTCGATCTAGTGGTACTAGGTCATCCATCTCACATTTCCCACTTTCAGAGTTTATCTTTCCTCTCTTTTTGAAAATGGGAACAGTTGCCCATTGCCATTTTCTGTCCACATGCTCCATTCATTGTTATCCCTCAAAGTTCAACACGAAGAGTGAACTCTTCCTGTGTCGTGGGACGCTACACCATTTTCCAAGTCGTCTCCTCTCTACTTCCACATAGAGGAAAAAATAAGGCCTGACTCTAGGATTTGAAGTCTTTTCCCTCTTTATTACAGTGTCATTTTTCTTGCAAATTCTGCCCTGCAGCGTGGTGCTTGTGGTCTTGCCAGGCTCACACCAAGTGCCCTGGTAGAGTAACGCTGGCAGTTATAGCAGAGCTCATGTATCTTGCAAGTCCTCAGAAGTTGTGGCCGTGTTTCAAAAGTTCTAGGTAGCTGAACTTCTCTACATAGATAAGTGCAATTTGTTTTAAAATGAAAGCATACTTCCTATTAAAAATGTGATTTAGGCTGGGCATGCTGGCTCATGCCTGTAATTCCTGCACTTTGGGAGGCCGAGGCGGGTGGATCACTTGAGGTCGGTAGTTCGAGACCAGTCTGGCCAACATAGTGAAACCCCATCTCTACTAAAAATACAAAAAATTAGCCAGACGTGGTGGCAGGAGCCTGTAATCCCAGTTACTTGGGAGGCTGAGGCAGGAAATTGCTTGAACCCAAGAAGTGGAGGTTGCAGTGAGCTGAGATCGTGCCACTGCACTCCAGCCTGGGCGGCAGAGTGAAATTACATCTCAAAAAAAAAAAAAGGAAAAAAAGAAAAAAAATGTGATTTAAAAAATGTCACATAGCTGATTTTTACTCCTCTGCCAGAGACCACTAAGGGTGGTGTCTCTTCCCTATGGCCCAACATGAACATCATGATCAGCCAGCCTCTTTTCCTCACCAAGTCCTGTTTGTTCTTCACAGCAGGCATTGCCCCTTTCATGAAACTCACCCTAATCACGCTAGCCCACTCAGATCTCCACGTTAGTAGTTCCACTGATGAGCATTCCAGTCTATGATCACAGAAGCCACACAATGTAGTATTTTTTATTATATAATCTTACGTGCAGCTTCTGTGTTGGGTACTCAGATTTGGGTGAGCTTTCATAGACCTTTGGATTTTGTTTTTTAAGTGAACTGATACCTAAGCTATTTGTTTCACCCATACAATTAGAAAAATAGTGGATGCCTACAGGGTATGATTCGGGGGCACTAGGGAGAACTATCTCAAACCCAGAAACCTCTCCTATTAGGCCTTCATAGTGCCTGTGTACTCAATGTCAATGAAACTTTTATCCTTTTGGTTGCTGTCTCCTGACAACTATAAAATGCAAATAGCTCTATTCTCCTACCTTGGTAAATATCAGTAAAGAGTCTAGGGATTTTTTTTTAAGTGAAAGCAAGTTTATTAGAAAGGTAAAGGAATAAAGAATGGCTACTCCATAGGCAGAGTAGCAAGGCTAGGGATTTTTTTTTTTTTTTTTTTTTTTTGAGACGGAGTCTTGCTCTGTCGCCCAGGCTGGGGTGCAGTGGCCGGATCTCAGCTCACTGCAAGCTCCACCTCCCGGGTTTATGCCATTCTCCTGCCTCAGCCTCCCGAGTAGCTGGGACTACAGGCGCCCGCCACCTCGCCCGGCTAGGTTTTTTTTGTATTTTTTAGTAGAGATGGGGTTTCACCATGTTAGCCAGGATGGTCTCGATCTCCTGACCTCGTGATCCACCCGTCTCGGCCTCCCAAAGTGCTGGGATTACAGGCTTGAGCCACCGCGCCCGGCCAAGGCTAGGGATTTTTAACCAAGATACCTCAGGGGCTGCTCTGGGGAAGAGGCAGCTCCAAGAAATGCCATCCCCACTTCAACTAGAGCCACTCTACTTTTGTTTTCTGGACGGAAGTTACCCTAAAACTTTATTTATAAACCATTCAGATGCAAAAATAATTTTTTAAAAAATATTCCTTTAGGGCAGTAATTCCCAAACTTTAGTATGCACAAGAATCCCCCTGCAAGGCTTGTTAACAAGTAGACTGCCAGACCGTGCCCTCAGCATTTCTGATAATCTGCATCTCTAACAAGTTTCCAGGTGATGCTGCTGGTCAAGAGACCATATACAGTACTCTAAGCACTACTGCTCTACACGAATGTGTTTACAGCCTCCCAAATTCCCTAGGAGAAGCACTGGCAGGAGGTGAGGGTGGGGGTAAAGAGAAGGGGGAAATCTCCAGAATGGAAGTTGACTGGTTAAAAAAAAAAATCAGTCTCTCTGTTGATTTGTGTTTATTTATTTATTTTATTTTTTTATTTTTTGGAGATAGAATCTTGCTCTGTCACCCAGGCTAGAGTGCAAAGGTGTGATCTCGGCTCACTGCAACCTCCACCTCCTGGATTCGAGGGTTCTCCTGCCTCAGCCTCCCGAGTAGCTGGGGTTACAGGCACCTGCCGCCATGCCTGGCTAATTTTTGTATTTTTACTAGAGATGGAGTTTCACTGTGTTGGCCAGGCTGTTCTCGAACTCCTGGCCTCAAGTGATCCACCCGCCTTGGCCTCCCAAAGTGCTGGGATTACAGGTGTGAACCACTGCACCAGCCAATATGTGTTTATTTTGAATCCCTTCGTCTTCATATCTGAAGTAAGAAGCTCCCAGTTAGTGTTTTGACCTTAGGGCTTTGGACCCTAACCAAGTACCAAAGGAGAGTTTCTCTATGCATAGTCCTAAGCACAAATGGGAGTAATAGCTGTTGGTCTAGGCCTTCCTGAAGCTTTGATTCACCTGTAAGTTTAAAGTCATAGAACTGGAAAGGACCACTAGGACTTCACATATGGCCTCTAGATAATGCTAACATATTGGCTGATGGAGTCATCTAGCATAGGCAGTGTGATGCCAACATCAGAAAATTCTAATGAGTTGGAGAGAAAGAAGCTGGCCAACCGTCTAATCCTACTAAATGTACAAATCAATAGAATTAGACAGAATCTTACAATATAAAGACAAATTTTATTGCCAGTAAAAGCCTTTAATAACTCATTTTATCCTGTTTCAGTAGGACCTTATTCTTTCTGATGAAAATCCAGCCATCGCATCTCTCATTAAAAATAAAATTATTTTGAAATAAATAAATATATAAAATAAATAGCATATACATTTTATAAATAGTTTGTCCTTATGCACAGTATCCATGCTTACATTTTAATATCATTTTCTTACAACCTACCCCATCTCCCACTTCCAATGACAGGAAAACTGCATGTCAGGACAGATGAGAAATCTGCAGAGCCAATGCAGGGAAGGCTTGCAGCAAGGCTGTAGCCCCAAGGATTTTCTTAATGAGACTTTTCCAAAGCTCTGTAGGTAGCATCCGTGGCAGATTCCTTGGCCTTTCATTTATACCCATTGTCAAGGTATTTGAGTAAATTGTGGGGTAAGACACCCCTGGCCCTTAGCAGGGGCTCCCATTCTTTGTTATGCTACCTCAGGAGAAGGAACATGAGTAAAGAAAAAAGTATATACAAGATTCCCTCGAGCCCAGCCCCCCCGTCCCTCCCCAAAATAACCCAACCTTGATATACACTTTGAACAACAAGGGAACAGCTGGGTTGAGTTCAACAGTAAGTGCTTTTCTGTTATCTAAAATGATAGGAAGGAAGGATTGAAAAGCTATGAATATAGTGCTTGCAGAGACAACCGTGGCCCCAGAGTACATGGGTCACAGAGGGCACACCAGAGGTTCATTACCTATAGTGAAAGAGGTCTCTGGACATGGAGGGCAACTTAGAAGGATCTACAGGCCTGGGTAAAAAGTGAGTGAATTTCTGGTGTCGTTTAGTCCTGTATCCCTCCCGGGGTGAGCCGTCTTTATTCAGGGCTACGTAATACTGTCTCTCCGAGTCCGAATGTTTGTACAAGGTTGAGGCATAGGTGTTGTACCAGTTTTCTTCAAACTGTTCCCGGAAAACACATTCACGTGTGAGTTTCTTCTGTGAGGGTGAGAAAATAAAGCAGAACCATTATATGACTATTTCTCCTATCCCGGCTTGCTAGTAGAGAAACCCCGAAATAGCAATAGCACATTGATGTTAGAAAATTCCAGTCCTATCTCTCTGTATTACTGGAGGTATCTTTCTTCCAAATAGCACAAAACACCCTTGTCTGTATCTCCTTCATTCTCTTTCATGAGCTACACAAAAATGTTTTAGTTGAAATCTTTCCTGGAGGGAGGAGATTGGAGGAGATGGCATCACCTGGCTCTTTGAGCCTAAGAATTGCTGCTATGGCCTCCCAGTGCCCTGCTGGCACCCACTGAGCTTTCTCCCTACTTAGAGCTAATGATGTTCAAATTCATTGAGATTACAGTCAACCATGTCAACTGACAGGCAAAGGCCTCAGATCTATATAAAGCTCCATGGGAGGTGAGCTGTGATCTCTCCTAATGAAGGGTCTCAGGCCTGTCAGTTTGAAAGCTCAGAAAAGATCTCCTTGAAAAGCTCTTCCAGTCTGGCTACTTCAGGCTGGCAGTTCCTGGGTCTCTTGCCTCTGTCCCTTCTCACACTTGATCTGACCGCCATACTACTTGCTGGGGTTGCCGATACTGAGTGCTGGGGACAGGCCTATCTCTTAGGTGTCACGGAAAAATGTGTTCTGATTTCATGGGGTGCAGGCAGCCAGAAAGTGTGCTATGTGACTCAAAAGCCAGAGCCAGGAGTTGGGATCCCCCGGAAGAGTTAAGGTCAGCAAATCACTCACCATTCCTCAGTGCTAGGCTAGCTTCCAGAATAGAGAAAATGCACTGCTGCTAGCCTAGTCCTAGCTGAGGGCTTAAGGCTGTCACCAGACCCTGGAACCCTCATTCTTCATTTGTTTGTTTCATTTGGCCTTTGGGACTCAACTGAAGCAATCTGGAAATCAGGGACTGTGTTGTTAACCTCAGAATCCTCAATTTGAAAGCCAGCTCTTCCACTGCCTATTTTTGTGCCTGCTAGTCTGCTACTCCTCTGGGTACACGTTCAAATTCAGATGTACTCCTCTGGAGGGTTAATGCCCCAAACTCTGACCGTCTACTGCCAAACCAGCACAGATTACTGTTATCATCAGACTAGCTGACCTTCTAATGAAAAAGGCAAAAGCAAATGTATCAGAGAAAAGCTTATGTTTTGGGGCCGGGTGCAGTGGCTCATGCCTGTAATCCTAGTCCTTTGGGAGTCCAAGGCGGGTGGATTACCTGAGGTCAGGAGTTCGAGACCAGCCTGGCCAACATGATGAAACCCAGTCTCTACTAAAAATACAAAAAACTAGGCTGGCATGGTGGTGCATGCCTGTAGTCCCAGCTACTCGGGAGGCTGAGGCAAGAGAATCACTTGAACCAGGAAGGCAGAGGTTGCAGTGAGCTGAGATTGTGCCACTGCACTCCAGGCTGGGCAACAGAGTGAGACTCCATCTCAAAGCAAAAAAAAAAAAAAAAAAAAAAAAAAAAAAAGCTTGTTTTGGTGGGGGCCAAATGAGTGAAGGTGTTATGTAGCAAGACCCTGAGCAGCCAAGAAGTAACTAAAAGACACTACTCCTTTACAGCTAAAAAAATACTTTCAAGTGCTAGATAATTTTTTTTTTTTTTTTTTTTTTTGAGATGGAGTCTTGCTCTGTCGCCCAGGCTGGAGTGCAGTGGCGCTATCTCGGCTCACTGCAAGCTACGCCTCCCAGGTTCACGCCATTCTCCTGCCTCAGCCTCCCAAGTAGCCGGGACTACAGGCACCTGCCACCATGCCTGGCTAATTTTTTTGTATTTTTAGTAGAGACGGGGTTTCACCGTGTTAGCCAGGATGGTCTCGATCTCCTGACCTTGTGATCCACTCGCCTCGGCCTCCCAAAGTGCTGGGATTACAGGCGTGAGCCACCGCGCCTGGCCCCCAGATAAATATTTTTTACACTTTTGCTTTACATTGTCCAAACACTGGTTGTAATAACTTCTGACAAAATACAAAACAGAAACAACAACAACAACAACAAAAAACCTTAAACTTACCGACCCATAGAGTTCTCCTCGCTCGTTCATTCCTAGGTACAGACCAGAGTCCACTCCCCGGATGCTGATCAGCCCCACAGCCAGGCTAATAAACTCCAGGATACCTAGGGCAAAAAGTGAACACTATTCCCGTTACCGGCATCGAACTAAGAGAAAGCTGTTCAGGTGACATGAGCTACCAGTCATTTGTCCCCAGCTGGAGGCCAGCCCTGTGTGCCTTTGATCAACTGCCGATGAAACCATCTTTTGCAGCAAGAATGGAACCTCAGAGAAGGTACTTTGTCTCTTTGGGCCTCAGTTTTTCCGTATGTAAAATGGGAAACACCGTCTTTGCTTCTACTCAACACTCTTAGGCATATTACGAGGAAGAGACCGTAAGAAGGCTTTGGCTACAAAAGCTCCATAATTTCAAGGTGCTATCGCTGTCAAATTCAAGAAGTGAGAAGTCAGTTTTCTGAATGCAAGAATGAGGACAGGTTTCTGTATCTTTCCCAGTAACCTCCCTCTTCCTTAGAGCACACAGCATTACCTTGCTGTCCTCTAGGCTGAACTTGTTTTGTGCCCTGTCAGCCCCATGTCCTTAAAGCCACATGAGGCTGTCAACTGCCTGTAGCTGACTCTAACAAAGGCCACACAGGCCACTCCCTGTTTGTTCCCCCTGCTTATGGCAGGAGGCAAAACTTGGCCACATGAGACCTTTCTCCTAAAAAGCGTTCTCAGCTAGTACAGCCCCAAGCTGACAAGCCTATCATTCTCTTTTGAGAATTTTAAGTTTATCCACAGCAAAGAGTTGGCAGGTGGTATTGGACTCATACTGATTTGAGATGTTGCAACTTTAAGGCCAAAGAGAAGAAATTCAGAAATGTCCTAGCTGACAATATTAGAGGTGAAGATTTGAAAATGCTTTCATTTACCCAGCAGCAGTCCTAACTGGGAAAAAGGACCCAGAACTGAATTCCTGGTGATAATGAAGACTACAATTTTGTCCCGAGATAGGACGTCTATTATCTTGATACAGACATAATAGCCAACTAGATTGCTCTTTGATATTCCTGTCTCTAATCACATTTCTCAACATACAGACCAAAAACTTGTTTAAGTCATCCAGCGTATGAAATGAGCTCATATCCGGCTGTCTTATCCAAAATTGCAATTTTGTTTTTGTTTGCTTGTTTGTTTGTTTGTTTTGAGACAGGATCTCGCTTTGGCACCCAGGTTGGAGTGCAGTGGTGTGATCATGGCTCACTGCAGCCTCAGCCTCCCCAGGCTCAGGTGGTCCTCCCACCTCAGCCTCCCTAGTAGCTGGGACTACATGCACGCATCACCACACCCAGCTAATTTTTTATTTTTTCTAGAGACGGGGTTTCACCATGTTGCTAAGGTTGGTCTCAAACTCCTGGGCTTAAGCAATATGCACACCTCGGCCTCCCAAAGTGTTGGGATTACAGGCGTGCACCACTATGCCTGGCCCCAAAATGCAATTCTTAAGGGTAATATTCTATGTAATCTATATAGGGAGTAGAGCTGATTTTCCAAGATCAAGAATTTTAAGTGGCTAATTTTAAAATCAGGTTAAAAACTCTACTGGGAAGTCTCCTGAGGAACCCCAGTGACTCAAGCTGGTGGACTGCCGTTCAGGTATGGCAGCTTTGGGGCCACGTGCTTCCGCAACCCACCCAGATCTATTGGAAGGATGTAAGGTTCTTCTGCGGCAATTCTATAGAACACTCAGGGTTTGGCCTTTGGCCTCTCACACTGAAATCCTTCAGGTTTTATTCTCAGTCTGGTTGTTACTAAATTTTACAGTACAAAGAAAGGAGTCTCGGGAAATGAGATTGAGACAAGACGGTAGGAGGGGAAGAGAAAATACCCAGTGCCAAGTAGGGGTTAATCAGGCACTGATTTAATGCAACCAAATCTTCAGCTGCACTGAACAAGGTTTTGCATTTGGTTCTGCTCTGTTTGATATTTCAATAAATGACTTGTAAGGGAACATATGAGGACTGCTTATCCTAGTTCTAGAAGACATGCAGCTGAGAGGGATGACATAATCAATATCCAAAGAGATTTCAAGAGGACAGAAAAACGGACTGGCTCCATAAACTATGCTTAATTAGAATCAATGTGAAGTCCTGCACTTTGGTCCCCCAAATTTCCCAAAGTATTTTGTGTTTGGGATTTGGTTGGGGGAGGGTGAGCCTCAAGTGCAGACAGTTGAGTTAACTGTACTACTTAGTTCATGTCCTATTAACATAGTTGGTCTGTGCAAGGGTTTTATAATGATCTATTTCTTTCTTTCTTTTTCTTTATACCCTGCTCCCATTTGCCCCTCCACTTCAGGCAACCATGTATATTTTCTTGAAAATGTGTACTGTTATTTTGTGTTCCTGTGCATTTTAATTATGTGCAAGTCTACCCATCTCTGCAATGGGGAAATGTGGCTTAGTAAAACACGACAATGGCAAGGAGACAACTGAACAAGGCAAACTCCGTGTGATGGGTGATAAGTGGATTATTAAAAAGCTAATGTACAATTGGTCACGTAAAATTAAAAATTAGAAAGCTAGTGGAAAAAATAGAAAAAAAAGCTAGTGTGATCTAAGGCCTCACTGATACAGGTCTATTAACTAGCAAAAGGGATTGGGGATTGTCTCACTTCGCTCTGCCATGGTTAGACCACACTGAGAGTAGTGTGTTTAGTTCTACTGTGCTTAGAGAAGAAAATGGAAAAACAGAGCATGTTCAAAGGAGAGTGCCCAGTATGAAAAGGAAACCAGAAACCAGGTCATGATTCAGTTCTGGGTCTTAAACTCTGAGGGACACTAACATGTGGGAGCCTTCAGTTCTTTGCCTTTGCTCAGGCAGGTTACTCCTGAGCTTCAGGACTGAGTTCCCTCATTCTGTAAGTATCTCGTGTCTCTGACAACCCTGAGCTCATTAAGTAGCAGAGCGCAGCTTGTGATCTCACTGCCCAAGACATAGTGTGAGAACAAATCATGAAACCCAAGAGGTGTGGCCATTTGAGTCACCACAGTTTTTCTCCAACTCTCTGTTAACCCTGATGCCAAAGGACAGATCATACAGGAAGTCACTTGGGTTGTGTCCAGTAACAGGGGTCTCCAACAGCTGGAACTATCCCTGTCCAGCTGTCTTTGGGCATCATTTTCCCTCGCCAACTTTCCTATTAGCTGGTTTCAAACTGTGGGAACCCAGTGGCACATGATGATGGAAGAGATATTCCTAAACCTTATCCTGAATCCCAGCCAGCATGAAGCGGGAGAGAAAATAAGCCATTTTCATATTTTCCCAGCTACAGCTGGACAGGGGTGTTAACAGCAAAGTGTTGAGGTGAAGTATTAAGTAGACAAAGTTTGTCCTCAGTACTCTTGCCCCTTCAAGACCCAGGACCTCTCTCTACTCTGCCTCATCTTGACCTACCCACATCAGGCTCTGCCCTTTTCTTGACAATTTCCAGACTCTTCTCTTCTTATACCTCTCTCCCCAGGCCCGCAGTCAAAACTGATCTGTTCTGGGCCCCGCTGCTTCAGAACCTAGCTAGATGACTGTCTAACGTGTCATTTAATCTAGTTGCATAACTTGCCTGAATCCTTCAGCCATCCTTTGGGGCCAAGACAGTGCTGCTTTGGCATCTTGCCAAACGAGAACCAGATCACTCAAGAACCAAAGCAGCTGCATGAGCCCACTCCATCCCACCTGGTGGGAGGACTCTCCTTCAGTTTGGCTCCGAAGCTCTGCTCTGCCAGTCCACAGGTGCCCCTCGGAATGTCAGGATCCTTGTGAACTTCATATAAATGCTACCAGCCAGGCGGTGATTGAAATACTCCTGGCTACTGATTGCAGATGGAGAGCGGAGAGCATATGCTGTGCCAACAGGTTATTATTTGGAGTCGGGACTGCTCTTGGGCTTAGCCTGACTTGTTCTGAACACATGGATTCCAGGGTAATCCTTGGGGGCCCTGCTCTCCAATTACAACAAATAGCTATTTACTTCACATGGCTTTTGGAGACTACCTCCTCCCCGCTAGCAGAAATCTATAATATTTTATATCTTAAGTCTGGCCTACTTTACCCTGCTGGAATGTTGACTGCTAAAGCACTTATGGAATGTTAAAGTTTCAATTTATTGAATACCCTGGCTGATTAACTCAAATGTGGAGGGAGGAGAGAGTTAGCAAACTCGAACGCCACCTCTTTCTGTGCCAAAAGCTAAACGCAGAAAGAATATGTGTTTTAAAGTTGGCAGGGAAGGTAACAAAGAGACAGCTTGGACCAGTTATCATTTTCTTTACAGGAAGTGCAGGAAAGTGACAGGAAGTCAGGGAAGGAGGAAAGGGAAAAGGCGATGCAGAGGTGCTCTTGGGCAGTGTTGTTTTCTTTTTTAAAGGCAAAACCAAAAATGAAGCAGTCAGTTAAGCAGCAGTGAAAATGTCCCTTCCTCCTGCCAATTTTATTTCCTTTGGTTTCTCCTTAAACTTAACACCCTTAGCAGACCTGGGAGATGAAAAGAAATCAAGATGTGTCTTTAGGGAGGTAATTAAAGACCGCGTATCCCAAGAGCCTATTACTGATTTATGTTGACCTTGTAGGTTACTGGGCTCAGCTTAGGCACAAAATCAGAAAAATATTTGGAGCTGCTGGGAGGCGTGCTCATAATTTCTCCACCTTCGCTGCCCCCACCCCACATTTCTCCATCATTTCATGACCTTTTTTTTTTGGTTATATATCAGCAATGAGTTACCCCGGTATCTTTATGCCATTTCAGGAAGCCTCTGAGGCCAGGGTGGGAGTCCCATTCCTCATGAAGAGGAACAAAAGGCGACTGCAAAATCACAAGCAATGAAAGGGAAAGGAGCCAAGTTAACACCCCCTCTCCTCCCACTCCACCTTATCACCCTTTTGAGGACCTGCTGCAAGTTTATACAGACACCTGCACCCCTCCATTACCCCTCCCAACCCACAGTACTCTAGCTGTGTTTGAGTGCATTTTTCCAAGATGCCATAGACCTCATTAGGGTTTCTGCCTGTTCCCAGCAAGGAAGACCAACCCTGCCCCTAAGTTGTTTGCCAGGCCTGGCCTTACCCAGCAACTGGCCCCTATGTTCCCCTTTTTGCTGTGCACTCCAGATGCAGCTCTAGCAAGGCATGGAGAATAGGAGGATGGAGAGATTTAGGGGGTTGGGGCAGATGTTGGCAAGAAGGAGGGCGGGAAAAAGAAGGGAAGGGTGTCATGTTTGAGTGTGGGCAGAACATCTTACTGGCTTAGGGGAAAAGGTGTCCTTCTTGGATTACAGGGTCCTTGGGAGGAAGCTGAGGACATTGGAGGACAGGGAGGGGCAAAGGTAGCTGTCACAGAACCCCCCATGATATCTTAGTAGATAATTGGAAATTGAAAATAAAAATGGCAAATTACTGAGGAGTGAACACATTTGCTTAGAAACTTAATGATCTTCGTCACAGATCAAGGCTTATATTAATTGTGTAATTAGTTCTATATGTGAGACAGGCAGCTGTGTTGAACAGTCTGTATAGTGGCAGGCAGGCAGAGACAATCCTGGATGAAGGTCGAACGTTTCCTGCTTTGGGCCCAAGAGACAACTGTTTCTGGGACTGGGAGTGGGCCCAGGACGGTTTCCTCACTGAGGCAAGGAGTCCAGGGGTAGTTTCCGGCAAAAGCTGCCCCAGGACTTGTGCCCTTACACGGTGGACACCGCGAGGTTTTCCTAGATTCCCAATTCATGCCAGGCTGCCTGGATTGGCTCCGACCCTGGACAGAGCGACCCCGAGGCAGGCAGACACCACAGCTGCCGGGTACCCACGGACCAAAAGCTATTTGTGTGCGGGCCGACTGCCTCACATGCCCATGGCCCATGCAGGATCCTGTTCCAGGAAATCAGCTGCCACAGCCCTGCTGCCTTCGAGGCTCGGCCCGCGCTGCAGGCACGGTCCCGGCCTCCTAGGCGAGAGCTCCCACCCCTGTCTCAGCTCCACCTGCTTTCATTCAAGGCTTAGAGTCCAGCTCCCAGAACTACCCCCTTGCTCCCCGGGGAGATCCGGTGGAGCGGCGAAAGGAGAGGCCTCACCGCAAGGCGCCCCCGCCCCCTCCTGAGAGTGTCCGAGGGTGCAGGGCCCCCTGATGTCGAGAGGCCCACGCCCGCGCCGTCGTGTCTCGCCTCGACTGGCCCGAATGACACCAAGCCCGGGGGGCGGTCCGCGGGCCCTACGCCGGAGCTCGGAGCTGTGGGCTTCCCAGTGCGCCGTCCGCCCGCCTCCCGTTCCCCCGACCGCGTCCTCACCGAAGCGGCTGTGGTCGTGGCGGGTGCCGTGCACCGTGCCGTTGGGGAAGATCTCCAGGTGGAAGCCAGTGCGGCAGTAGAGCTGGCGGCGCCGCAGGATCCCCTTCAGGTGGGCGAAGTCTGTGGGTGAGCCACGCTGCAGCTTCCCCTCGATTTGGCCCAGGCGCTCGTTCAGGAAACCTGGGGAGTCAGCTAAGGGCACGTTCCCCAGAGACGAGGAGAAGCCGTGTAGATCCCAGTCCAAGGAGGCGAAGACGCCCCCCACCTCTGCCATGGCTGGGCAGATTGCGGCGCGGTTTGTGCTGGGCGCGCGCGGGCCGAGCCGGGGCCACGGGGCGCGCACTGCCTCTCCCCGCAGCGGGCGCGGGCGGTTCGGCGGCGCTCCCTCGCTAGCTCGCTTGCTCTGCGCTCTGCCGAGCTGCAGTCGACGTCTGTTCGCGTCCAAGGAACTTCTCAGCGGCGGGGAGCGTAGGGCAGCGCGCTCCTGACCTTGCTCTCAGTCAAAGTGCCTCTTCCCCTCCGCATCCATCTCCCCCGGCCTCTCATAGCTGGCTTCGTCCAGCTATCAGATGCAAACGGCACTTTATATACATACCCACTCCCCTTACATTGACATATTGGATATTTAAATACAAGCCACACCTCATTGGCATCCCCTCGGAGATTGGTGTGTGGGTTCTTTTTTTTTTTTTTTTTCTTGCATCCATTTGGCTCTTTTTGGGAGAGGGGGGTGGAGGGAGAGAGCGAGCGAGCTTCACTCCCTCTTTTATTATGAAAAAATGGCAGGAAAAAGCTACACATTGCAGTGAGGCATAACTGCTTTTGGCAGGTTCTTCTGAAACTGCTGATGAAATAACAGAACCCAGTGCGTGGAGGCCGCTGGCGCGCACGGCCACTCAAGGCCTGTTCCGTGGGGGTCTGTCTGTGTGCTGCCCGGGGGCTGTCCCCACCTCCCACGCGTCCTCGGGCTGCTATGCTAGCCTTTGGAAAGTGCCATGAGACCGGAGTTGGGGAGTTCACATGCTTCTGATCTCCTCTTGTTCCCCAGTTGGTCGGAGGCTGCGGAAGGGGCATCTGACCCGGGACAGGGACTCCCTGGTTTCTTTGTTCCACGGCCCCCAAGTCCTAATTCCTACCTGTATAGGTTGGCGGGGTACCGAGAAAGTGAAAAACCTGGAAGCCAATGCAGTTGCAAAATTTGGGGTTGGGGGTGGTGGTCCTTGTTGATTCCAAGGCGAGGGCCTTACTGGGTCTGAGAGGAGCGGGAAACCACTCAAGGAAAGGTGAATTTTTATTTTTTTCAAGAAAGAGACGTTACAGCTTAGGCTTAGGAAAAGGAGGGGGGAAGTAAGAAATAGAAAGCGATCTTTTTGAAAAATGATCTCCGCTGGCTTTCTGGGCACGCTTTTACAAGGCTCTCGAGAGCAAGCTCAATGAGAGGCCATTGGAAGCCTGGTGGGGGCTTCCCCCCTACCTCGTTTCTTGTTGGAAACAGGTGTTTCCTCGTTCTGTCCAGTGCCTTGCTCCGAGATATTCTATCAGGAAGAGCCGCAGCTGGGACAGGAACCGGCGGCAGCCAGGTCAATGGGCAGCGTCCAGAAGTCCTGGGGAGCAGGTGCCAGACCTGCCCTGCACGCCTGTACCTCTGCCCCGAACCTGAATCCTGGGGCACCTATTGGGCCCTGGCACTCGGCGTCCTGATCGCCTATTAAACGGTGTTGTTACTGGGTTTTCACCCGCCGCCCGCGATGGCTGCCTTCCCAGGCTCCCTCAGGAGAAACTGAACACAGGGAGCCCCGCGCCACCCCCTCTCTTTGCAGCGCCTCCTGCTGGAGACCCCCAGTCTCGTGGCAACTTTGAACTCAGGGTCACCGTGAGATGAGAAAACCTATTCCGCTCAATTCACTTAGTGCAATTCAGGTCCTGCTCCTGGGCTCCCTCGTGCACCCTGAGCTCACTCCCTGGAACCGTAGCAATTCTCGGTTGGGAGTATTGCGGCTTGGTACTAGTGTGCCTCCGCATCTCAGACAGAACCTCTGAAACCAAGCACAAGATGTAGCACATAATAGGCACACTCAGAAATAATCTGAGGTGCTCCCAGTAGCAGGGAACATAGATGCAAGTCATCTTCCAATTGTAGGGGGACACAGAAATGCAGAAAGTGTCATTCATATTGAAGTATTTATGGATGAAATCATATGCTGTCTGGGATTTGCTATTAAATTATTCAAACTAAGAAGGCAGAAGGAGTGGAGGTATCGACGCGATTATTGTCCTTGTGTCGCTAATTGTTAAGCTGGGTGAGGGGTATATTGGTGTTTAATTATACTTTATATATATATATGAAAGTATATATGAAAATTTCCATAATTAAAAGCTTTATAAAATGAGACTGACATAAAGCAACTATTAGATTGGTGAAATACAAATAAATCAATCTTTCTTTCTTCTTTCTTCCGTCTTCAAAGAGTTTTTGAATTTAGTGGGAAGGTGGAGAAGGAAGGAAAGAGGTTAAGACAAATACATAAATGACTGGAGTACAAGACAGTATCAGGTGCATGGTACTGTGTGGATTCAGAAAGACTGATCTGGAGGTTTAGGGCCCGGTTCTGGACTAAGGTGTCCTTTGTAATGGATGGGCCTCAAAGGGAAGATGGGAAGGATTTTGCAAATTCAGATGGACCCCTTGCAGGAAGAGGAAAGTTGTAACAAAGCAAGTGGAACAATTTTAATTTAATCTCAAATGTGTTAAGTGTCTTTCATGTGGTGGACACAATGCTGGGCACTTTCCATCAGTGCTCAGTACCTCAAATGAGTATTGAGTGCCACATGAAATAGTATAGATGAAACTGCTTTGAGAAGCATGTTATATAAAGGATTTAGATGTTTCCATGATGATATAGATTACACACTGATTATGGCAAAGATCATTTCCTCAACAGTCACTTCAGGGTATTTATGCATTCTTTGTCCCCCAACATTCCCAAAGTCACCAACCACAGTTGGCAGATCTGGAGTCCTACTTGATCGAAGGTCAGAGATACAGGGATTCCATTGCCCATCTGGGGCTCTTTTGAGATTAAGCTATCTGATGGTTCTGTTTGAAATAATGTTTCTATGTCAAGCATCTCAGTTGACAGAGCACTTTCAAGAAAGTTATTTTATTTTCACAACCTCGTGGAACAAAAGGTGTCATTATCCCCATATTAGAAATGAGGAAATAGAGGGGGAGGTTAAGTGACTAGTACAGAATCCTGTAGCAACTAAATAGCAGAGTCATAAATTGATCTCTGCTCCACTGGCGGCAAATTACTCTCAACTCATGGGATTTAGGATTATGCAAAGATTGGTGTGTTGAGGACAGTGAAATTTCACTATAGTTTAGTTCACGGAAAATCCTCAGCAGGATGCAACCTCAGACCAGAGTAGTACTGAATATATTGGATGAGAGGAAAATGTACATTAAAAAAGAAAGCAAACCTTCCCTGGATTCAGGGCATCATTTATTTAAGTGAGGATAATTGCACCCCTTCACAGTGGTATTGTGAGGACTGGGCACTGATGGAAAGTACCAGCGTTGTGCCCACCCCATGGAAGACAGTTAACACATTTGAGATTACTTCCTCCTTTCCCAATACCTCACAGGGTTGATGTGAAAAGGATGTGGAAAAACAAAACTGAAGGGAAAAAAAAAAAAAAGTTCTGACTCAGTCTATAAGCAACCAAAGGCTGGGGGATAATCTGGCAGGCTCTGTTCCTTGAGAAAGGAGACAGTGATGCTAATAATGCTGGTGCTCACTAACCACCCCCCACCCCATGCCCACACATACCCCTGAGAGATGGGAAAGGATGTCTAGAACTGTTACTCTGCCCAGTTCTTCATTTTCTGGACAATTTACAATTTTTTTTTCCTTACTAATTGATATTCCCTGGGAAGGGGCAGGGGGAGCTGTATAGCTAGGCAAATCCTGAATGTGGCATAGCCAATGACATTAGTTGCTCTTACTGAGTACTTATGTAGGCGTGTTAAGCACTGCCCTTGGCATGTTACGCGCATTATCTTCTGTAAACCTTATCACAACTCTAAGAAATACTAGTTTTTAATTTTTAATTTTATTTTTATTTATTTACTTTTTTAGAGACAGGATCTCACTTTGTCACTCAGGCTAGAGTGCTGTGGCACAGTCATGGCTCCCTGTATAGCCTTGAACTCCTGGTCCCTAGTGATCCTCTCACCTCAGCTTCCTGAGTGTCTAGGACTACAGGCATGTACCACCAGGCCCAGTTAATTAAAAAACAATTGTTTTTTGTAGAGATGAGGTCTCACTATGCTGCCCAGGCTGGTCTCAAACTCCTGGCCTCAAGCAATCCTCCATCCTTGGCCTCCCAAAGTGCTGGGAGTACAGATGTGAATCATCACGCCTGGCCTATGAAATCCATTTTACAGATGAGGAGGCTAAGGTCCAAGAAGATCAGTAACTAGTAGCAGAGGCAAGCCTTAAACCCAGTTATTTTTTAACCCTTGTTTTTAAATTAGTGCTTAACCAAAACGCTAGCCTGCCTCAATCAACTTACTTCAAAAAGAACTTGTATCGCTCCATTGTCTTTTGCTCCTGCCTCCTCTCTCCTTCTGTTTTCTTTGCTTTATGTGGACAGCAGTATAGTGTAGTGGTTGAACACTCCATCTCTGGTGTTAGACTGCCTGGGTTCATAACCCCAGCTTTAAGCCATTCTAGGTGTTGGAGCCTCAGTTTTCTCTTTGGTATGATGCAGGTGATGATGGCAGTCATCAATTCATAGGGTTGCTGTGAGGTTTGAATAAAATACACAGAATGGACTTAAAGCTGTGCCTGGCACATATTAAGTTGTCATTGTTCTTAATATTATTTACATCCTGCCTGGCCCCAGCCATATTTCCTCCCAAGGTTTCCTCTAACTATGCTCATTTTTTTCCTAAGGAGGAGATGAAGTAGATAAGAACACTGGCCACTGGCCTGCTGAGTCACCCCAAAGCAATCAATTCCAATCCTATTAATCTTTCTGTGTGATATTGGGCCAGTCTTGTTCTCTCTGGGCTCTAGAAGGCGTGACTCAGAAACAGGGTGACCACATTGTCAGCTGTGGGTGGGCAAGCAGGTAGTGAGGGAGTGAAGGCCTGGGAAAAACAGGAAATTACTCCTTTGTATAATTCCATTTATTGAGCCTCTTAAGGGCCAGGCACTTTTCTAAGAGCTTTAAATTTAAATCACATCATACCACCACGAGGAAGATGCT